TTTTCGCGCATGCGTACCTCTCATTCTGTCAGACAACAGCAGCCAGTAAACATGGCTGGTGTTGGTTTCCAACGTTTGGCCAAGGCTCTCGCTAAGGGTAAAGGTTCTGGCCTCTCAGCCCTTGTATCGGGATGTAGAGCAGGTAGGTCGTGTTTTAGTATTGTGGGTATGAAAGATTTCTTTAAACATATTTGTCATGGTTTTTAGTTTGAAGCTTCTCATGGACGTAACCTTGAATTGCGACCATTAGCTCGAGCTAGCAGAGAGTCAGCGGCTGTTCTGAATGAGTGGAGCGAGTCTTAAATTGGGTTGTGTACACGTTCATTATTGCTTTCAGAAATGCATTTTTATTGCTGTTTCAGCCTCTGGTGCGACAAAAGATAGTCTGCCTGGCGCATACCCAAAGACCCCAGAGGAGAGAGCTGCTGCTGCAAAGAAATACAATCTAAGGGTTGAGGACTATGAGCCGTATCCGGATAACGGAGAGGGGTGAGCTTCTTTTTGAAAGCTTTTTAGCTTATGTCGCATTCCGGTATAATTTCATAGGCATTGCTCATTTAGAAGGAGTCTAATGAATGGACAATAATGGACATTCGGAACTAACACTTTAATTTTATTGTTTCCATAGCTTCGGTGATTACCCAAAATTACAAGATAGGTCCCAACACGAGAGAGACCCTTGGTACAAATGGGACCACCCTGACTTGAGGAGGAACTGGGGAGAGCCGGTAAGACAGGGATGAAATTCCCTTCTAAAAGTTTTTTTTTTTAATTGTAGATATATTATTATTTCTTAATAATTAACATAGATACTGGCAATTTAAAGCTTTTGTTATTTATATGTATTGCTTTCTTAGATAAAATACAAAGTCCTATACCATACAGTTTTACAGTTCGCATGGCTGGACACCCATGAAGAAGTATTCATATGTCCTCAACTTTTTACTTTTTTTTTCACATTATAATAACCAGCGTCAGTGCGTTTATTATAGCAATGAACAACACAAAATACAGAACTAAATCCTTTTAGCATTCTGTGGGAAGACGTGAAAACTGATGTTTAGATGCTCCTCCACATAATGTAAGCTTGGTTGAGCTACTTTGCAAGGAAGAATTGTGACAAAAATTTCTGTCTATATGCAAATGAATGCTTAAAACATATCTAGAGTCATCAGATTAATAGGTTGTTCTGTTGTGCCAATATTGTAGATGCACTGGAATTTTGACATGTACCTCAGAACCCGGGTGGACACATCTCCGAGCCCTGTGCCGTGGTCAACGATGTGGAAACAACTGTTTGGTTTCGTCGGGTTCATGTTGTTCATGTTCTACATGGGGGAGAAATTTCCATCCTATCAACCTATTGTAAGTACACACCCAATTTTAGTGTATAAAATTACAGTAGACGGACTCAAGTAAATGTGTATTATTTCATTCTATGGACTTTTCTATGTTTAGTATTGTTTCATTATACATTGCTGATGGAGTTTCAGTGAGGATTGGACACATATTGTAGTGATGGTTGCTTTAAAAAGAGATCATACATCTCAAAATCCTGGTATATAATTTGACTAAATCAAACCAATTTGGTACATGTGCAGAGCTGATAGGCAAAGCTAACCATGTTTAAGTCCATTTACTATGGTTGTCAAAATAATCAATATAGCTAAATAACTGATACTAGAAATATGTAATTATAAAGCATCCTTGCTGCAAATTTCCGAATCACACCACACTCTGCTCTACTGTGGTACAAATTAACACAGGAAAATGTTAATCAGCTCAGTTGGCCACTAAATAGTGATGCAGCAAAACAAACTAGTGCAACCTACTCTGCTCTTTGATCAAAGAAAATATGGAAAATTATCATTGTACAAGGCTGCTACATACTTTTGTATAGACCAGATCTTTAACACTTTAAGAAATATGTTTGTTATGCACCCTGATAACTTTGGGTACTTGTTGCTTTTTCTGCTCCGCATTGCTTTATTTTTGCATTTATGTATTTAGTAATACACTCATTTATTTCTTTTGTTTCAGGCCCCAAAGCAATATCCCTACAACAACCTGTACTTGGAGAAAGGAGGAGATCCTGCAAAGGCACCAGAAGAAGTTAAAAATTATGAAATCTAAACCTAAAATACAATTTTGCTCTTGTATATATTTCTGGCAAAAATAAAGACTTACGTTAATGTATAAAATATCTGTGTGGAATTGTATTTTGTTCTATGTAAAGACTAAATTTGTTTCATGAAATAAAAGCAGCACTTGATGTTTTTAAATATAATTAGTTTCATGAAATAAAAGCAGCACTTGATGTTTTTAAATATTCAGATGAAAAAAAAAATATTCTGACAATTGTACTATCCCAGATATGGTTCCGATGAGTTCAGGGCGTTAGGTCAGCTGAAATGTGAGGTTATATGTAAAATGTCCCTGTGGGCGATCCGTAGCTTAGTGACAACACGGCAGTAGCACTTTGGTCTGGGCTGCTAGCTTCGCTGATAAGTAGCACTGGAGCGTGTAGACGCAAATTGTCAAGCTGTGTAACACAGTTTACGTAAGTTGCTCTTAAAAACACATTTTCCTAACCAGGAGATTTAAATTGAGTCTTTTTATCCTTTGTTTTATTTGCCTTTGATGTACTGCAATTGGGGTGGTGGCTAACGACTAGCTAGCTAGCAACAGCAGCATCGGCTGGGAGTATATAAACTGGAAAACTTAAGATATGGTGTTTTCATAGATTGGTTGAATATATAACATTTTAACCCTAACGCTAAATAATATTAATAAATTTCGTTTGTAATGTGAAATTTAATGAAGGCTACATTCGAGGTGTGCTTGCGAAATGCTAACTCGCTAGCTACATGGCAGATAAACAGAAAAATCTTATTTGATAGTAGTCTGGCAACTTGACGATTATAGTACTAAGAACTACATCAATTTGAATCAATTGTCGATGAGCTATAATTATGGTGCGATTATTTTTGTTATTCGGGTTACTGCTGTGTGAAGTAGACTGGATTAGAAGGCATTTCCTATGGCAGGTAACAGAAATAATCTGAACGGATGTTGCTGTGCTTCAGCAGAATGGAAAAGGAGGAATATAACCAAATCGATAGCTACAGATGATTTGGGGAGCGATGTCGTCTTCTGGTGTCGGTTCAATGTGTTTTATCAATTCCAGAGTTGGGAATCCAGAATCAGGAAATTTTAGCGCTGTATGCATTTATTTTTCTACTGAGAACATCAGGTTTTGTTTATCTTTATTAGTTATGTTAACCTGTACAGCAAAAAATGCCTATAATAAAATAATACACTGGTGGTCTCACCTTCCTAGGCTTTGAAACTTGAACCTCTGTAGTTGAAGATGAGGCTGAAGGAAATTCAGAGGACTGCCCACCAGGCATGGAGTCCTGCCGGACACCATCCGATCTACCTGGCCTTAGGAACATCAGCACAACAGCTCGATGCTTCTTTCAACACCACAGCTGCCATAGAGATATTTGAGATGGATTTTGCCGACCCCTCTCTGGAGATGCAGCTCAAGGGTTCATTATCCACAACAAACAGGTACTCTGTCATACATTTACACATTCTAACGTGCACATCCTGCAGTCCCCATCAGTCAGTACATAGAACTCGCATTGTGTTTCGGTTTTTGATTTTGCTTACTGGTGGATGATGCTGCATTCTTATTACAGGCAATAGCTGTTAACTATTGCAACTGTAGTGCATTGTAAAAACTATTCACACCCTTGGAACATTTTTACACACAAGCTTTGATGTATTTTGCTAGCATTTTATGTGCTAGACTGACACAAAGTAGCACACAATTTTCAAGTGGAATGAAATATTGGATGTTTTTGTTTTATTTACAAGCAAACTGAAATTGTAGTGTGAAACTGTTTTTTGGAATGTCTCAACCTTCTTTGCACATGTAGAGGGTGGCTGCCCTTTTATTTTTTGCAGGCTTTGGGGGTAATGGAGTAATGCCTGTTTTGCTCCCATAGGTTGCACAGCATTGTATGGGTAAATTTTGGGACGGCGGAAGATGGAACTGGAGGGAGACTCGTTGGGGGAAGCGAAAATGGCACATTGACTGTATATAACCCAGAGGCTATCATAAGTTCTGGAGCAGAGGCTGTTGTTGGGCAGTGTGACAAACACACAGGACCAGTCCGTGCACTTGATTTCAACCCGTTCCAGGTAAATACATTGCGATTATAGACAGATTATCCAAAAGCACATCTCGTATAATTCATAATTTTCTATCTGTGGCCTTTTCTTTCGCAGAGTAATCTTCTTGCCTCTGGAGCCAATGACTCTGAGATCTACATCTGGGATCTAAATAACTTCAGCAGCCCAATGACTCCAGGAGCAAAATCACAGGTAAGTCCTGGATTTAGAAAAGTCACAGATTCTATTGTACTATATAAAGCTATTTACAATTGAAACCACAGTCACTTTCAAATTTAATTTCCTGTTTTTGTAGTTTGAAACCTGAATAAGAGTGGAACCTCTTTTGTTTATGGTGTCGCCTTTGCTCTTATTTGTGAAACTGACCTGCTTTTTTCCCAGAGTTGTCAAAGTGCTTTAACACTCTGACCGTTAATTATCTGATTTGTATTGGACAAGCAGCTGTTTTCTCCTGTTTCAGCCCGTTGAAGACATCAGTGTAGTGTCGTGGAACAGGCAGGTTCAGCACATCCTGGCATCTGCTAACCCCAGTGGGAAAGCGGTTGTGTGGGACTTGAGGAAGAATGAGCCCATCATAAAGATCAGTGATCACAGCAACAGGGTTGGTTGTTTTTCTTTTCTTTTTTTTTCAGTTATTAAAAAGAGATAATTGAGATTTGCCTGTTGTCCATCAGGTCATGTAATTAAGGCTCCCTTAATAATTTATTTTAAGCAATTTTTTGTCTATTCGTAATACATTTGCAATAATATAATGTTTGGTGTTTCTTCTAGTACATAGAAATCAGACTATACTGTTTCCTAATTTTCACACTTTAAAATGTAATCAAAAAGGCAATAGTATTTCACTTAAAAAAAAAAAGGCTTTATGTTTTTTATTTATTTAACTTTTTTTACTTGAACAACTGAAATAAAGTAACTTATCAATTTTAATTTTATTCATATCTGAAATTTTGAAATAAAAGTTGCAGCCCAGTAAATAAAAAAATCTAATTGAAAAGACTTTGATGGTAAATGGGTGTTGTGATTTTTGCATTCTACCTTGTTATGTGACTGAAGATGCACTGTTCGGGAATGCTGTGGCACCCTGACGTGGCCACCCAGCTGGTGTTGGCCTCAGAAGATGACCGACAGCCAGTCATCCAGATGTGGGACCTTCGCTTTGCTACGTCACCCCTTAAAGTGCTGGAAAATCATAAACGGTACAGTTTTATTGATTTATCTCTCGTTGGCATAAATTTGATTGAATTTTTGTTAGATTGTTCTGAGTTTTGTGCCGCTGGCGTCTTCCAGAGGAATTCTGTCCATTTCGTGGAGCCAATCCGATTCGGAGCTCCTTCTGAGTAGCGCTAAAGACAACAGGATCCTCTGCTGGAATCCAAACACTGGAGAGGTATTTGAAGTTTTTATTTACCAGTATGTAGTTCTGAAATTATCTCTCTTGGCTACAATTGATCTTCACTGGTGTCTTGTTTTTTTATTTTTTTTTATTTTAGGTAATTTACGAGCTTCCAACTACAAACCAGTGGTGCTTTGATGTCCAGTGGTGCCCCAGGAATCCAGCCCTTCTTTCAGCAGCGTCGTTTGATGGGAGAATCACAGTTTACTCTGTGATGGGAGGGAGCTTGAAGGCTCAGCAGCAAAGCACAGCTGACATGGTGATTACTAGTTTAAAGTTTAAATGTTAAAAAGTTTTGAACATTTAGTTGTCTGTCCACGAGATGGTGCTGTTGTAAAGGAAATCACGCTGACTAATAGCTAAATTTGAAAGAGGAAAGAAAATACTTCCTAGAGAACTGGTGTTTCCCCTGACAAACATCCATAACAACAGTTTATTATAGCGGAAGTACTAAAAAGAAAGAGTTGATGCACATATTTAAACATGTGAAAGTTTTCCTGTGTTTGTATTTATTTGGAAATGGAAAAAGAGATATTCTGTTCTACAAATAACTGAATTGATTTAGCATGCAGTTGTTAATTGAACAAATCATGTTCTTTATATTTTACCAGATATCCTCTTCATTTGATACAATGGATCCCTTTGGTACGGGACAAGTGCTGCCTCCTCTACAAGTTCCTCAGCCCAGTGTGCAGGAAACCATCGTTCCTCCTCTGAAGAAGCCACCTAAATGGGTGCGCAGGCCAGTGGGAGCTTCCTTTGGGGTAAGTGTGATATTAGAATATTTCATCCTGTGTTTGGTTGCCCTGGATTTTATTTAAGAGTATCCAAACAAAGGGGTCTGAACACAAAGGCTGGCTTTATAGATTCTTTTATTTCTTTTTTATTATTATTTTAAGTTTGAAAACTAAACCATTTTTTTTTTACCTTCCTTTTCACCATTATGAACTACTGTGATCCCAGTAAAATACATTTAAATTTGTGGTTGCAAAAATGTGAAAATATTCAGAGGGGATGAATTCTTTTTGGATTTAGATACACACCATGTTTTTTCAAAGTATTGAACTTGTTTTTCTTCTGTTTTTTTTTTTTTTTTTTTTTTTCAGTTTGGTGGAAAGCTGATAACCTTTGAGAATCCAAAGCTTCCTCCGGTGCAAAGCCCCCAGCCTGTCCCCAGACAAGTGTTTGTGAGCCAGGTTACCACGGAGACAGAGTTCCTCCAACGCTCCAGGGAGCTTCAGGCGGCGCTGCAGTCGGGTTCCTTCAACAACTACTGCCAGGCCAAGATTCAGAACGCCAAGTCGGATGCGGAACAGGACATATGGAAATTCCTTCTAGTATGAGTCTCCTCATGTTTAGACACGAGCTGAATCTCTCACTCAGTCTGGGGTTATGACGTGTCACATTCCTCGGATTACAGGTCAACTTTGAGGACGAGGCCCGTATTAAATTCCTTAAACTTTTGGGTTTCAGCAAAGATGAATTGGAGAGAAAGGTATTCTGTTTTTTTTTTTTGTTTGTTTTTTTTGTTTTATGTTTCTTACCTTTCCTTTGAGTCATACCACGTCGTAGCTGTAAAAACAAAAACATTATCTTCATGTAGATTTCAAAATGTCTGGGGAAGAATTTTCAATCCAACGGCCATGGAGTCGATGCCAAAGATCTTGCAGAGAAGATGCAGCGTCTCACAACTGAGGTCAGATGTTCTCCACAGTTGTGAGTTTTGAAATCGTAACTAGTGGAAAAATAAAATCTCCTTTTCTCTCTCTCTCTCTCTCTCTCTCTATCTATCTCTCTCTTTATAGAGGTCAGATGAAGCTGCAGCTGATGCTAGAACCTCAGGGTCCATTTCACCAGCAGACTTCTTCAGTCATACTCCCAAGGACAATTCCACCTTCCAAATCCCTGTATCATGTGGTAAAAACCTTTCTTCAATAAATAAGAATAACTTTTCTTCTCATTGCTGTTTGTTTTTACTGCAATCGAGGCAGTTTCTGTTGATCACCTGATTCATAACGCCAATCATTTCTGCAGACACTGACGGTTTGATAAGCCAGGCGCTGCTGGTTGGCAACTTTGAGGGAGCCGTGGATTTGTGTCTCAATGATGGTCGTTATGCTGAGGCCATTTTGCTGTCCATCAGCGGTGGAGAGGACCTTCTCAAGAAGACACAGCAGAAATACCTAAGCAAGCAAAAAAACAGCATATCAATGGTAAGATTGTGATGCAGGTGTTTCTCAGTAAACTGGAATATTAATGACAAGTTAAATCTTTTCAGTCAGAAACATTATATGGATTCATTACATCCAGTGTGATATATAAGAGGTTATTTTTGCTGATTATTGTGGGTTAGCACAAAAACAACCTTCAGTTTTTCAGAAAATATGAATATTACAGATGAAAAAAAGGATTTTCAATATAGAAATGTCATACAATGGCCTGGATAATCAAGGTAATACATATTTTCTACTGCAATTTTTCCTTCCTCTCAACTTTCCTTTAGTGTGCAATGGATACAGTACTCTGTGAACAGACGATTTCTGTAGCATTGACTATTTAAATATATATGCTTGAAGTAGCCTGTATATATCTGTGTGTAATCAGTCTATATAGCTTCATATACCATAATGTTTTGCTAAATCATAATTTATTTCCCACAAACTCCAGCTTATATCATCAGTGGTGACCCAGAACTGGAGGGACATCGTGCAGAACTGTGAGCTGGACAACTGGAAGGAAGCTCTTGCTGCTCTGCTGACTTACGCTCACCCTGAAGACTTTGCTTGTTTTTGCGGTAAGTTTAAACATTTCTTGGCGTGCGACTTGAACCCTGACATGCCTCCCCTCTCTGGGAACTGTAAAATTGCAGTTCAGGGTTTGACTTTCTCACCAACACCAGTCTATGCATGTCCTTGCTCAATTTCCAGTTGTTCTTCTATCTTTAATATTTTGGAGTTTTGCCATATGTCCCGCCAGATACCTTGGGAAACCGGCTGGTGCATGAGGGCACAGAGAAGCGCTGCCTGCAGGCCTGTTTGTGTTACATCTGCTCTGGGAACATTGAAAAGCTGGTGGAGTGTTGGGCCTTGCACAGAGAATGCTCTTCCCCTCTTGGGCTAGAGGTACAATCTCAGTATGGCTGTTTGCATCGGTATAAAAGCTACTTTAACATTTTTCTAGATCTTTAAGAAATTAGCAAAATGTTAAAAGTTTATTTTACTATTTAGTATTTATTATGTCCATTTTCCTCATAAGAGTTAGTTTTCTAGTTGATTGTTTTTGGAGTTAATCTGTGATAGTACAGATTCATACACTCATAAAAACTATGTAAAAAAAAAAAAAAGTTATTTCTCCTGGTGTGATGGCAAACAATAATTTAAACTTCTGTTCTTATGAATTTGTACAAACTAAATATTGGTTTCACAGATCAAAAAGTGAGTTGTGTTTTGTTTTAATACAGAATAATCCAGCTCAGAAGTGTTTTGGTATTTGAAATAGATCTAATCTATGTCTGACCAGTTTGGAACGAAAATTGATTTTCTCACTTTTTGTTAGAAATCTGAGTCTTTAAGAGAAAGGAGTAGGAAGCCTGTGTTAAAACTGTGCATGGATCTATGTGAATATTGTGTTTTATTATTATTTTTTTTATTTTTATTTTTTTTGTAGGATCTGGTTGAAAAAGTGATGATGCTACGGAAGTCGATTGAGCGCCTCCGCAACAGTGAGGTGGCAGTGCAGAGCCCAGTGCTGGCTGAGAAGCTGACCTGCTACGCTGGCATCCTGGCTGCAGAGGGCAGCTTAACCACTGCCATGACATACCTGCCTGACAACTCAGACCAAGTAAAAAAAAAAAAAATCTTATTTTAAAGCCTCTAGTTTGACTTTGTGTAATTTCTCACTTGAATTAACCAAATCTTGGTTTCTGTACAACTTTTTTTCTCATCAGCCTGGCATCAGGATGCTGAGAGACCGGCTGTACCATGCTCAGGGAGAGGCTGCTGCCCAACAGCAACCTCCAAACTCCTTCAACAAGGTCGGCGTGCCAACAGCTAATCCCACTCCTGCAGCTCAGCCTCCTGCACCAAAAGCACCAATCATGGTAGAGATGGCTTAGCCGTAAATTCAGTCATAATACCACAAAGCATTTTTGTTTAAATTGCTCAACATACTGTTTTGGTTTTTTTTTGTTTTGTTTTTAACCTTAGAGTCAGTTCCAGCCATCTGCTCCACCACAGGTTCCTTCACAACAGCAGCCTCCAATGCCATCAATGTTTACTCCTCAAGTTCCTCCACCCAACTCAGGCCCAGGTCTGCCACCATCCTCTCATGCACATCCGCCCAGTTCCACCCGCCCAGTTGTAAGGCCTTCCTATCCGCAACATCCTGCTACAGCTTCAGGTTTGGCAGCTTGAAAATTAGCTTAAAGAATCTGTCTTGCAAAATGTATCGTATCCTTATTTGAATTTTTTCATATTTCTTAATGTAATAACTACAAACTTTGAGCGTGACTTCCTGTGATAATCATGCAAAAAATAGCATATAATTGAGAAGTGAGAGGGATAAATAGTTAAAAAAAAAATCTAAAACATTTGGCATTTAGTGCCTTTTGATCTGATTCTCTGAAATTAAATCCAGTGCAATCAGTTGCCTTCAGAAGCCATGCAATTATCATGAAGGCAAAGAAAGACAGCAGACAGATCATGGATAAAATTGTGGAGAATTTTAAATCGAGGTTAGGTTATAAAGCAAAATACCCCTTTGCCCAAGCATCTCCCAAATCGCAACTACGACTCTACTAACACACTTCTGCACACTTGAATAACAAACCTATTTAAGGCCATAGAGGCCACACCGCATGAAAGTGGAAAAAAAAAAATGTTTTCGTCTGAGAAGACAAAAATTGACCTTTGTGGTTTACAGACAAAACTTTAGTGAAGTGAAACTAACACGCCGCCCCCACTGCGCAAAATGGTAGCAGCGTCTAGCTGTGAGGGAGCGTTTCATCAGCACAAATAAGGACGCACAGCAGAGTCGATGTGAAGATGGATTGATGTGAAAGTGTAAAAGACTCCCACCTGAACGCTTGCATACACACGCTTGCGCATTCGCTCTCTCATAGGCATGCTCGTAAATGTAAAATAAAAATTCACAATGTCTTTATCAGTAGCAGAACAGTCGCCTTGTTCTTTCAGCAAGATCAGACAGATTTAGCAGGTCATACAAACTTGTTTTTACTTTGGCAAAGATCTGATAAGATTGTTGTTGTTTTTTGTCAACTTACCCGTGGGAATTCTTTTTCTCTTTCTGAGAACTCTGATGTTCCTCAGAGCTTTTACTTTTTAAATCTTCGGGACCACAGTTCTTTTGAGAAGCGCGCTACTTGTAAACTCATCAAAAGAGAATGAATTTGCTCCTAAATCACCGCTCAGAGACGGATACATGAAATTCTTAGCTTGGGTTTTATTCAGTGTTTGATTCACTGTGCTGCATCTACTCTAGCAGCCATTATGAGGATAGAGCTAAAATATGATTTAGTTAACACTTATTGTTTTTTTATTACTATTTAATATAAATTCATAAACATGGAAATGATAGATTAATGTATAAACCCAGAACATTATGAAGTTAAAGTTTTCCTTTTCCTTCTGGACATCTTAGTGTTTTTTTTTTTTTTTTTTTTTTTTTTTTAAAGTGAAACACATGGCCAATTTTTCTTTTAACTAAAAATCAAAAAGAAATTTT